GTAGACAAGATTCGTTAAATCATTAGGGATACCCCTACCAGTAACCTGTAACATCCATCATTTCGAGACTCAAGTGTCTCGTAGGCAGATAGAGTCTTTGTTCAACAGAGACTCTATCTCGTAGTCGATTACGTGACGCGAATTACGTGCCGTTTAGCTGTTATACGGTCGTAGTATAAGCCTAATCCATACTTTTCAGCCTAACCTCATGCTTTGCGCAGCGATTGTTTGATACTTCAATGTTATTGTGGTTCATTATTTGATGAAAGTTTCGAATCAAATAACGAGGATTGATCTAAGTTAAAGCTTGATTAATAGCGATGATCTCAACAGACAAAGTAAAACAAAGCAAGTAACTGGTGAACATTATTTGCCTTTATATTTGCCTTGTTTTACTTTTTTTTGAGAGCCGTGATGCTTCCTACTTAACAGTAGTTCACTATCACTTCGAGATGGCCAGGCCTACTCTCATGCTGTCTATATGTGATGACTAACTCTGAAAAACTAGGGACAACTGGGGAATGATCCCAGAACCTCGAGATTTCGCGTCTCTTGCTCTACCAATTGAGCTACTGACCCTGATTCTCAGAGCGAAATCACCACTCATATACAGCACAATTTCATGCTTTGTGTGGAACTGAGTAGTTCACTACTATATGTTAAAACTCACGCTCGACTTGTTTTTTATAGCTATTTCGGGGTTTGTCAGAACACAATGGTGAGATTAAAACCTGCTGTGAGGTACACAGCACTGGAAACCAACAGCTGTGAGGATGAGGAAGAGGGTGAGGAAGAGGAGGAGGAAGAGGAGGAGGAAGAGGAGGAGGAAGAGGAGGAGAGGGCGTTATACAGTGCTCATAGTTCGGAGGACATCAGTGCTTTTCAGTGTCAGATAGGTCTAATCGGTGCTACCTGTCATGGTTCAGGTAACAAACTGGGCTCATCACAGTATCACCAGTCAGTGGTACCATCACCAGTCAGTGGTACCATCACCAGTCAGTGGTACCATCACCAGTCAGTGGTACCATCACCAGTCAGTGGTACCATCACCAGTCAGTGGTACCATCACCAGTCAGTGGTACCATCACCAGTCAGTGGTACCATCACCAGTCAGTGGTACCATCACCAGTCAGTGGTACCATCACCAGTCAGTGGTACCATCACATTCACATTTTATCAACAGATTTACACGGAATTTGCCATGAAATCGTTTTGCTGTCCCCGGCGTAGTAGTTTGTACAAACGATTGACCATAAAGTATTAGTGGGTCTGACTCTGGGGAAGATTGTTCAATTATTCTAATTGCAGTACTAATTGATGGTTATCATATGCAATTACCTTGCCGCCTTTATCGTTAAAATTTCATTGTACACACTCACCGATATATTTACACTAGGATAGTGTAGGATAATCTTATAATATAATTATATATATATTATATAGGATAATAGAGTTAGAATTAACCCAAATATCAGGGACACGAATGACTACTCCAGGATTTAAGAAACTAAACTTTCAACACTGAAAACATTCAGATTCTTGCCAAATATATTTCGATTGTAGTCATCTCCAGTGACATTGAACCTAAAAAATGTTAAAAGGTTAGTGAAACTCAAGCCGTTACAAAATTAAGAATCCGAAAAATATATATAGGATAATCTTACTGTATATATAAAGCGAGACGATATAGGTATATAATAAATATACAAGAGGTTTACAAGAGGTTTACATATATATCCATACCATTTTACTGACACCACGGCATCAACTTTAACACGACGTTCCGCAAAAACCGTAAGAGATATAGAACTGAAACTTTTTTGACTGGGTCAAATGCCTCAATGGTCTTCAAATCAGCATGAAAAAATAAAAAATTGGCCAAGGAATAAGAATTTTAGTGCCCATAATTAGGAGTCCCCAAGTGGTGTCAAAGACGCGAATTAAATAAGTAATAATTATTTTACACATTTAGTCTCTTGAGTCTAGACACCATTTTAGGGTTAGAGTTAGACGGGTTCCTGTAGTGGTCATAATGCAGATTAATTTCACATTTAATATCGTAAGAATCAACCCGAAATTGACACGTTGTCAAATTCGTTAGGACACAATATTTCAAATTTCATGCTCAACCGCTCAACGACAAATTTAAGTATTGCTATTGCGGCAGAAATGATCAATTCACTTCATCCGTTTTAAACTACGACTGATTAGACACAGTAAAACGATTTCAATTAGATATCATATAATCTCTTCGAATCCTTTGATTTTGCTGCCACCATTTTAATTCATCATTGTAAATATTTCGTTGGATCGACAGTACATCGACTCAATCAGTTTATCACTGCACAGAACAAACGAACATTAAACAGTCTGCTAACATACTCCCAACACCACAGAGAGTGACCCCGGCACTCCATTCCCCTCATCCCCCGCTCTTTGTGGACCTCCCCGCAGACCGAACAAGAAACTGTCGGTTATCCAGGAGGATGGGGATCAGATAGGAGAGTGTTCGGTTAGAGCAGGTTCACGGCGTCTGATCGGCAGGAGGATGACTGCTGGGGATGTTTTGAGTATGCGAGATGATACCTCTCAGCGGATGCTCTCTGCTTTTGGTGAGCAAAAGAGAAACTAGTCTCGCTTAACCGCTAACTTGCTTGATAGCACGTGTTAAACAATAGCTGCCGTCAGCCAGGTGGTAAACATTTTTGATAAGATCATTCCCCGCAGGTATTTACTTTAAGACAAGGAATTATTATAATGATTGGAACAATGAGTTCCGTTTACCACTCCCAATTGGATATAATGACAATAAAGGTGCGTCCAGCGTACTCATGTATGACAAAAAGGAAAATGAACATCATTGTATGGGTTGTGGTGTTTTGTATATTGATTAATAATTGTCCTCCGTTCACTACACATATTGATTTAATTTCCTGGAAATCGTTCACTTTAACGTGTCCATATTATGTGGTACTCCAGTAAGCAATTTGCCAGTTGTCGATACAATTATTTCTTTTGGTAACAGCCATCATTTCGATCGAACAATGACTACCATTTGCTTGCAATTTATAGTTCGACTACGTACTTATTTTTAGCACTCCATTTCGCAGAAACGGACTCACGCGCACTCGGAACAGATAAGGGTACAGGACGTAAGTACTCGGCAGTGATTGACAGAACCACTGGGTACCCTGTGGCACTGCTGGGAACTGCTGGACCCGGCTCTAACAAGATAGAAGTTAGACGTATTTCCAAACCTGCCGAACGCCCTCTACTTCTTCTGGCCCCTCATTCTCTGAGCACTGGTTGTTCAAGGAAAAACTCTCTTATTCAGTTACTCAACGACCCCTTCGGGTAATCATGATCCCTGATTACTGATTAGTGGTGTTTATTGTTTATGCTGAGTTAAATTTGTAGTTTCATGTATGAAAGTGAAATATAATGTATCGTGAATCACTATCAGTATCTTTTTTAAAAGATTAACCCACAAAGCCAAACATTCCAGGGATATTGGCTATGAACCTATAGCTATAACGGATGACTACTATCTCCAACATTTACCTGCATCGTCACGAAGAACTTCTTCTCAGCCACATGTATGGTTCTTATTTTACAGTTTAAAGAATAGTTTGAAATTATCTTGGTAATCTGTTGAACACTTGAAATGTTGAACACACTTCAAAAAGAAAACACTTGGTTGCGCGTACACTTACAGTCGAATAGGACACAAAGATTACTTGCACTCTATCTGGGACACACTCTTTATTTCTAACATTGTTTTTCCAGATCTAACCAAGATGTACTCCATAAATCAAGAAGGGACCAGAGTGTTAAATGAACACTGTTAATTGTACCTTAAGTGTGACACATATTGGCTTTGATAGACTAACAATTTTCTACCACTCGTACCACTCGTTTCTATTCATTAATGACAAAAGTAATTTTAATTCAAGAAAAGAAATATACATCCAGGATTTATCGATAGCTCCAAGGAGGGTAACGAAAACGGACTACAAAGAACTTCAGGACCGTGGAAATACTGTTCTAATGAAGGATTACAAAGTCATCAACACTTCCATCGCCTACATTATATTTTTCATAGTTTCAGGTTGGACTTTATGAAAAACAATATTTTTGTAAATTTCTTTCGCAATGATTTTTCCTTAATCAAACATGCTTTATCACGTAACCTTTTTTGCTCAGGTATAACGTTTCTAGCAGCTTGGCAGGGTTCAGTTTGGGTTTTATTTCTAGTAGTTGGACTGGTGTTCTTCTTTATTTGCTGCTCCTGTGGAGCCGTAAAGTTTCATTTCCTCCTAAAACAAAGACGCAGTCAGAAATCCTACACTAAAGCCAGAAGAGCTACCATTTGCGCAGAGCTTGTATCTCCTGATTTCAGGCTGACTTTATCAGTACCCTCTGTACAAGACTTGTAGAGAGTGATGTTATTAAAATTAACAATTTCCAGATGGTCTTATTGCAAAGTTATTATAATTTATGGGATAAATCTTCATTATGCAACAATTTCAATTACAATTATCGAAGTTGTGTACAGAATTTCAATGATTCTTCTATTGACTCTAATTCTTAGTCAGATTAAATGGTTTCAGCTAATACATTTCATAATATTGCTATGTTGCTAGAGATGAGATTATCTAATTACAATAGAGCTTTAACTGAGCTTATGTAGCAATTATAGACAAGGGGTTATTATTAATTGATTATGAAATAAATGTAATCCTGAATTGAACAATCACATAATTTTATTTAATAACAAATTAAACATGATCTAGTTTTTATTCCAAATGGCTCACTGGGATCATATTTTAACGATAGTGTTTGTTCCTATGATATCTTCAGACTCAATTCATCAAATTAATTAAAAATCAAACTTTATAGCCATTTGAAATTATCGAAACGATAACTTATTAAAAACGGTTCATGATAAGTTAAATCACGTTTTTATATAAGGCGTGAGTAACGATTATGGTGTAAATGTCTCATTTTTTCTCTACAGACTCCTGCTTCTTAACGCCAGAATCCTTCTTCTTCTCATATTGTTTCTTCTTATTCTCCTCCTTTGCCCACGATCCCAGGAAGTTCAGTTTCACGTCAGTCTTGAAGCTGTTTCGAACCTGTTCCACGAGCCCTTCAACATCATCGATAGAATCATCATTACTGTCAACAACCTGCCTATCGAAGGGGAAGCCCATTGGTCTCATATCAGGATACATGGACTTCTCTCCTCTCTGTCCACAGTAAGATACCGCACCGGCCTGCATCGGTTCTTGGGGATTAACTCCATCTTTAGTCCAGTCAGTGACCAGGACGTATAAGGTTCCCTTCATACCGTGCTTTGTTCCTTTTGGTATGAGCAAGTTCAAGGGCCAGCCACAGCAGTTACCGTGGGACATGTTATCTTTACCAGCTTCAATTTCCTCGACCGTCAACTGTGCTGTGTTGACCACGGAAGACTTGTTGTTTCGTTGTTTGATGTCGAAGATCTCGCTCTCATTTCCAGCCTCAACTGTGATTACAAATCTGTCCAGTTCAACGAACATACTCCTCCAGTTCTCCAGAGATTCGTCACGAGTTTCTGGGGCCAGGAAAATCCTGATGCAAACCAAGACGTCTGCCTTGTTCTTGTTCTTCAGAGCTATCTTGTAGCTGAATGGAATGTGGTCCAAGAAGTCCTTCTTCTTGGTGGTAACCTTCTGTTGTGGATCCACATTGAATACAGAGTACTCCTTAGTTTCGGAGTAGGTGTAGAAGTTGTTCTTTTTGTCAAGAGGCTTGTCAACATTCTTCTTATGGTATTCTTCTGGCTGTAGCTCCACTTCAAATGACTCAATCTCAATGCCTGGGAACTCTATGTCTTTTTTGGTGTGGGGTTTCATATTTCTTCTGTGATCTTCAAAAAGAAGATCGACAAACTTGTGCCATCGATAAAAGACGGGGTCCCTTGGTGCTGTTTGGTCCCAGTTCATTGGGCCAGGTGATATTTGGTACTTTCCTTTGGGATCGTTCAAATTGGCAATAACTTGGTGGCCCTTGTTGTTGATTTCTCCATAAAGATTCTTGTTTATGGACCCTGCGTTTGCAAGAATGGTGTTTCCGAGGTTGTTCATGTCGATGGGAATCTTCACTTCATCCCTGTTGTAAAGAGAACCTCGAGCAATGCCGTCTTGGAGCCTTTCCTTGTGTCGTCCCATCTCTTCATGGATTGCTCTGGGGTCTGGGTTACCATCAGGCTTAACTACGTACATGTCGGCAGGTCTGAAGGAACACAACATCATTCTAGGATTGAATCCTTCAGTCAGAGGTCTGTCCCATCCATAACCAGGGCCGTAGGGCTGAACTCGGTCATAACCCTGAGCCAATCTTTCAAAGTCGTACCTAGCCAACATTTGCTGGTGCATGTAACCGAAGAGCTCACCCTGTCGGTCTCTGGGAGAGTTTGGTGGGTATGGGTAGTTCAAATGCCAACTGTAGTTGTGTTCCAGCAGTCCAATGTCTTCTCTCCACCAAGCAAGATCTCTTTCTTTATCGAACTTGCCTTTACCTTGTTGTCCATCTTCTGATCTCATGGGCCCAGCTAATAGTGAGTCTACAGCCTGTTTCTGGCCATTCATACCTTCAAATATTTCATCTTGGGTGAAGTAAGCAACAGGCAAGGTTTGTCTTGATGGAGGAAGCGATGCTTCCTTGGTTTCGGGGTGCCTTGCAAATGTCAAACGCACCAGATGTTCAATGTACGGGCTTTTCGGGTATGCAGTTCTCAGATACTTGAGTGCTTTGAGCATGGTTTCCTTAGGTTTCCTAGACAACTGTACAGCAGCATCGTGGGCTTTGCGGACGTGTTTTTCATTGAAAACACTAAAAGGAGAAATATCCTGTATCTCCAGACTTTGAACGGTTATGTTGTTCAGTCCTCCTTTCAATGCGTTGTGAGCTTTTGGGTCGAACAGCAGGATATCCAAGACTTCCTTGTTGAGCTGCTTGAAGGCCTGAGAATGCTCTGCTGTGTGATGGCAGTGCTCACAGTCGCAGTTCAGCAACTCCTTCCCCTTTATCTCCGTAGACATTCTGAGCTGTAAGAATCACGATTAATATCATCCAGGGTTTAGTTTAACGATGAGTCATAACAGTCAGGGTAAACAAATACGAGATTTATGAGTTATGGGCTAAATGGGATATGGTTATCACAGTGCTGGCAAGTTTTTCAGGCATTAAGACTCACCGAAAGTAGTTCAGCAGGCATATTTTAAGTTCAAAACATTCTAATTCAATGTCAAAGAGGGAAGAAATAAAAAATAGTTATGTGGAAGTTTTTAAGAAATTTGCGCAAAATACGCGCCAGCACCCAAAATCGCCATATTCAGGTGCCTTAAAACCATGTTAAAATTGAGTTAAAGATTTGAAATTTTGCAGGGTGTCTAGATGTTGAATGTTGACCAAATCAACTGTAAAAAAAGTTTCATGTTTCAGGAGTATTGGGAAGTGGGTTTTCTGGAACCCCTGATTTACAACAGATTGTCGTGAAGTATATACATATATCACAATGCTGGCAAGCATTACCGTTGACATTATATTCACAATACTATTTACCCCTATACTAATATTATATATTATAATACTATTTATATCCCCTTTATTGTTTTTCAGGCATTAAGACTCATCGAAAGTAGTTCAGCAGGTATATTTAAGTTCAAAACATTCTAATTCAATGTCAAAGATGGCAGAAATAAGAAATAGTTATGTGGAGGCTTTTAAGAAATTTGCGCAAAATACGCGCTAGCACTGTTATACGAAATTTTGTAAAAAACCCAAAATCGCCATATTCAGGAGCCATAAAAATCATGTTTAAAATGAGTTAGAGATCTGAAATTTAGCAGGGCGTCTAGACGTTGACCAAATCGATTCTAAAAAAATTCAAGTTTCAGGAGTATCGGGAAGTGGGGTTTCTGGAAGTTGAAAATCAAAAAGTTGCACACGTGGGGACACGCACAAATTGATATAAAATTAAAATTGCTAAAATCACTGAAAATTGCTATTTTCACGATTTTCTCAACTTTGGAGTCCCGTGATAATGTAATTGAAATCTTCTAATTGAAATCTTTTGAAACTTTGTATGTTTATCATACTATATATAAAATACCAATATGCAAAAATATACGTTGATTCAATATCAAATGCGCACGCAACGTCCGCTCAAAGTTTGCACGTGCGAAAGGTGAGAATTTTGCTCATTCGAGATGTCGATTAGATTCTGCTTTCCCACGACAGTTAAATGGCATTATGTATGGATTTATCGCCAACTTGAATGAGTATAAAGTGGCATATTCAGTCAGTGATTCTCAGATATGCTTATCTAAACACAAGGAAATGTTTTCAAAGGTAAAATTTCGAAATTGTTGAAATTACCTGAAATTACCTTATTAATGAAGTTATCACTTTACATTTCGACTTCGCAAAGTACCCTGACATTAAAGAGGTCTGATCGTCATCTTCTTACAGCGTTCGATGTCCGTGTGAAGGTAGAATGGTAACATGCTCTGGATCAGGCAGAGGTCGAGTGTTATCGGGATTACTTCTGTAGTACTAGTAGTTATACGGAAATACTAAGGTATTTCCGTAGTAGTCCCATGACTTAACCCTGACATTAATCAAAAAGAGATGATATTTGACCAAAACCCATAATAGGGTAGAGTGTACCGCTGCCAGTATCTCTCTTTCCCAAACAAAAGTAAATGATATTAATTTGAATGACCGTCTGCAAATACTAAATGATATCGAGAATGAAATCGGTCGCGGTCCACTCTACCCAATTATGGGTTTTGGTCAAAATTCAAATAGAATCAATAAAGAATAATTAATATCGTATTAGTTACTCTTCATGTAAGGACTGAAAACAATCGAAATCAAACAAAAAACCGACACGTGGATGATTGTAACCGTGCATAAGTTTTATAGTCACACAAAAATTTGACCATGCAAAATTTTCAACATTGTATGTTGTTTGATTTTCTCAATTTCCGCAAAAGCTACAAAATGAAACACATTCTCAAGTAACAAATTGTCGAGCGTGAATAAACGCTACCTTAACAAAACTATCAACTCTTAAAATGACATGAACTTGATCGGAGAATCTTTTAGATTCTTCTCTCTCGTGTGCAAAATAAATATATTTTCGCAGCGAGTAAAGCATTCTGCTACTTTGAAGAAATTGTCACGGGCGACAAAATCTATTTTGAGCTTGCTGCGAGTTTTCTGCTCAATAGGTTTAAACAGGAAAGAGCTTGTAAGATGCAAATTCCGAAATATCCAAGCGACCCGAGTAAAATCTGTACCACGGTTGGATAATTGAAATTATCACGTGACATAATATTATCAAGCAGGATATGCCAGCACAATCATAATAGCATGATTTGTTAAAAGATTCAGCGGTGCAAAGTCGAAAACAATCATTCAGCTAAGGCAACAGTTAAATCTTACAGCATGAGATGAACGTAAGTTTTCCTCCGATGGCTGATGAATTCAGTGCGACAAAATCAGTAATCAGGTACACTCGTATAAAACGACCGCCGCGTTTACTAAGTTACTAAGACATTACTCTTGAATTGTGGCATACTCTACCCGACATGTCGCATTCAAAGTTACCACATTAATACTTACAATAATATTTTAAAAGGGCCTATGTCAAACTTAAATCAATTATACCAATTAGTCAAAAAGAGCCAAGAACATTTTTATATTGTAGAACAGTCAATCTTTCCATTTAAGATGCATAGAAATCAAATTCAAATGCTTATCCTAGATCAAATTTCGAGAAATCGGTTTTTATGCATTATCTCAAAACAACTTTTTTTGACATAGGCCCTTTCTATATATAGGTGACGATATGTTAAGTTAGATAATTAAAGTGGATTGGATTTGGAGGTGGTTCATGAACTAGTTTTTTAGCACCGGCCTCTATTATATTTATGAGACAAAATCAGATACAGAGCGCTGGGCTGCTACGGCTATAATGTACGGACTGCGGAGGTCCTTAGCCCACAAAAGTCGATTTAAGGTTACCGACACAACGACCTTACAAAAGATTTTTCATTTTTGAGTCCCACTATAAGATGACCTTTGTGGCTGACCAACGTTTCCAAATATTTGTACGTGTCTTACTCCTAAATTGTTAAAGTCTTAAGGCTACATTTTGCCACTTTTTACCAGCTTTTGTTTATATATTTAGTTGTGGACATCGTAGAATGCTGTGGATTCATCGGGGGTGTTTATCTTATGAATAAAAACTTTTCTTGTTAAAATTTCCACATCAGATAATCACTTAATTAACCTAATCACAAAAAATGTAAATGATTTTGATAGTTTGATAAGATCAATACAAGAAAAAATGTACATTTCAATAAAAAATTCTTGAGGTCCTCTAGATTAGTAAATCGAGCAACCATAATTAATGCTGGCAAGAACATTCAATATTTGTTGTTTCATTAATATTGTTTGTAGTCGGCGAGGTTGCATAAAACAATGTAATAGGATTAGCAATCCGTCGTAGGAGTACTAGAAAGCCCGGATTTGTGATTGAATTATATATTCAAATTTCGTATGTGATACTCTTAAATCCCTTCGTCATAATGCGGATACCTTGCAATATCGTTTTTTGTACATCTTTAGTGGAACCATTCTGAACCAAGATCATTTAGGTACGCAAGTTGAATCCTTAGATCTGATCCTCAGGGGAAAATGTTTTAATTACCCTGAGGCGCGTATATTTGATATTTGCATCTTTACTCCTGAAGGCCATAGAGACTTCATTTTAAACTTATAAAAAGTACTAGAAGTAAAAATATCAATTCAACCTTATTTAAATACAATTTCTGTAGTAGGTAGTGGTACTGAAGCTACATAAGCTCCATGAAATTGATGATATTTGGGCCAAATTTGATTGTTTAACAAATACGTGCAATGTGTTTTTTTTTCTTCAAAGAAATGGACATATTTTGAACGGTAATGACTATAAGTATAATGACTACCACTTCAACCGGTAGAATCGAAGTGCGGGTCTGTTGTCTGCTTGGCAAGGGAGTCGTTTCAAAAGTTGATCCGCTTTCAGAAGTCAGGAAGTCGCTTTTTATAATTTGATTATCCCCGCGGCTTCAGAGATTTTACACCAAGATCTGATGTACTTCTATTTACAGTTCTGATCATTAGAGGAATGCGCAGACCGAGATCCCCAGAATATTCATTTCAAATGTTCTACTAGTAGGGTCTATAGGGTAAGGTCTACTAGTAGGGTCTAACTCTAAGCTTGACGTTGGCGCTCACTGCCGGGTGACATGTCTGAGAGTCTCATTGATGTCAGTACCGAGGATGATCATAAAGTTTTTATCAAGCTCCTATCTGTTCGCATATATTTCTTGATTATGAGCGGAGACTGAGAGGGTGTGCACGAACTTCCGTGTTTTGACACAAATTACATTATAACATTATATAATTATATGTTCATGATATAACATTAAGTTGCAGAAATAATTTTACAATCTATTTCAGTAGATTTATTAATATTTTCTATGATGACTAAATATTATTGAATACTAGAAGTAGAAGGCAACCATAATTGATTTCAGACCAGACCTCCTTTTTAAATTTAGTCCGCTAGTATCTTATATCTAATCAGTCACCCATGGTGCACTATAAACTTGTACGGCTTCGCATGCACCCTCTCCGCCGGCTCGGCTACGATTAGATGATGGGTACGATTAGAAAATTGACTAGAAAATAGAAATATACCATGGCTTATATTATTATTATTAATATTAAATCTGTGGCTTGTCTGCCGCGTATGAGGTTTTCTATTGCATGTTCGATCTCAGAATTAAAATATTGGTTTACCGTAGCTCGCAGACAGATCAGCTAATTTCAATTCCGTATGGGGTAAAAATTTATAGAATTATTAGATCGATAGGCTGATGAAATAATTCACTATCTTTTGCTTGCAGTGCCTCACTAACAAATACAGATCAGCACCCAAAGTTGTTACCCGCATTGGAGCACAGCTTCAATATGTTTAAATATATTTGCTTTAGAGCACCCTTTATAATTATATTATGACTTTATGACCACTGTTTGACCCATAGATAGAAGTATAACGATGTTCTCTTGTGTACACATTTCTAATGTTAACGAATACTAATTTAATCATTTGATAAGTTCTTTGAGCATTAAATGGTTTAAAACGACTCGTTTCCAATTTTTATTTCATACACAATACAGGTGATCACTAATTCTTTCCTTTTTGAAATCTGTGTAATCTTCAAAACGTCGAGCACTCTATTTTTAGGTTCAAATAACTAATTAGGAAATCACAATGGACTTCATTCCACCTGATCTAATGATTTCCCTAATTTTTCCACCATTTGTCTCGTCTTACTGCCTTTTGGAGAATCCTACAATTGTTTACGTGATTTATAGACAGGTAATGAATTGACAGTGTGCAACTTTGATGTCCAGATTATTGTTCAATTTAGTAATACAATACCAAATTCAAAAGCTCATCGAATTCATGTTTTAGTCGTATTATAATTAATGCATGAAAATAAGTTCTGTTTACATTTATCGTTGAAACATTTTGATAATTTATTGTTTCTTTTAAATTTTTAATTCGTTTAATCCGTATGTCATAGTTTAACCTTTTTGGGCATTTGCACCGAGAGCAATGATCTTCACAATAATAATGTATAGTCCGATAGTTTCACTTGCATCCTATAATATACATTCATAATATAATTTATGGTCCGAAATTAGGTGTTTTCGGAAAAATACCTTTTATAGTCAGGGGAAAAGTGTCATTCCGTTGGATTTGAAGGGTAATAAGGATTTATCAACGGAATATGGAAGTTAGAACCCCTACGAACATAATTAGACTTGTCGCCAATTTTTTATCTCACGGCAACACCACTTTTTACTACTTTCTTACCACCTTTCTGATACGCCAAATATATAGAGTTGTGAACGTCGTAGAAGGTTGCAAATTAATCGAGGATATTTATCTTATCAAAGAGAAAAACTTGTTGTAAAAATTTGCACGTTGGACAATCAGCTAATTGGATAATTACCAATTAGCCAATTACCAAAAAAGTGAGAATTTTTATTGGCTCAAAATGATCGAAATTGTTTGAAACACGGATAAATGTAGTTTTTAGAAAAACTTAGAAAATGTTTCAGTTTAATTTTTTTCGAAAATTCGAAAATATTTCTTTCCGCCAAAAGTGATCGAATTACATGAAACGTGGAGAAAAATGATTTGCAGAAAAACTTTTTCGCTTCGGGGAAACAAAAATCACCAATATTTGAAGTTAGGGTTTAGTAAATCTCGGCGGAAAGGGCTGAGTTTCAAAATTAATTACAGTACAGCCTTATCAAATTCCACATAAAGAAACAGCACAAAACTAAAAGGACCGTTATTAAGATTGATCCGATTTTACCTGCTGTACTATCATTTTCTTGATTTCAATGATTAAAACCCCTCTATACTATATACCGTCAATCTTGCCAATCTATACCGGGTACCTGAATGTACCGGGCCTCTTCTTTGCCTCTATAATTAGACCGGGTTGTGCAAGAAATGTTCCCACAGGGGTTTCTCTCATCTCTTGAAATTAGTTTATTAATCTATGATCTAGGTTTTCACACTTCATCTTGATTCCGGCACTCCATATCTGTAACGATTAAGTCTTGCATTTTGGAAGTGTTAATCCACTGTCAGACTTAACAGAGGTTGGAAGTAATCAAATGGAATGTTATGAAAATGAAATTAGGGGAAGGGTGTATGAGACAGCATAAAATCACATACAGTAGATATGGTAGCAAGGTCGCTCCCTCGTAATCTAATCTCTAAATCTAAACTCCATCCTAACTCAGCTTCTCCGCTCTCGGGTACTTTTTGATTTGTCCATGTCATGCCTATGAAAGCACAGTGCACGGACGTGGAGGGCTGGTTGCTATGACTATGTATGAGCTCGATAATGCGATAGAATTATATTTAACGTTCGAGAGGCCATTGTAGTATTCTACTTCTAGATGAACCATTGAGTGATAATGTTTAGGATTGCAGTGCTCAGTTCTAGTTTGCTCAATTTAGTCGTGCCAAGTTTGCTTTTCGAACTTTGTTCTCTGTATCCTTATTATTAATTTTTATAAATCTAGTTCTGATATCGATATTCAATATCACATATTCAGGTAAAATGAAACAGGCTGGCATGCTTTTAACAGCTTTCTTCCTGGTCTTCTTAGCTCACGCTGCATTAACAGGTTGGTGACAATATTTTTGTACTATCCATAAACATGCCAATACTACGAATGAAGGATTCCAAACCGTCGTAAAGTTAGAGTTAGGGTTAGTAGTTAGTGTTCGATTTAGAGTTACAATTACAGTGACGGTTAGAGTGATGGTTAGGGTTAGGATTATGGTCAGGGTTAGCGTAAACAGTAAAGGTTCTGGGGCAGGATGTCGTGAACTGTGCTGCACGTAAGGGGAAATGTAGATTGTAGATTTATCAGAGTGGGTTTTTTGGACGTGTGATATTGTTCAGAACTATATGGCCGGCACCAGGGAATGAAATTTCCGGGGCGGCTAAGATGTACTTTATTTACTGCCAAAGTTAATTTTAAGGAGGTTTTAGTTGCTTTAATCTAACAAAATGATCTCTTTCAGAGGAGTACCCGACATGCGACTGTTGGACTCCCGAGTGTGGATACTGTTCTAAACTGGAGTGTACGGTCAAGCAAACCTCAAACCTCGGTATCACTGTCAGCTCCAAACTCAGGTGGAAGAAGCAAAACACTATTGTTCTGTTTGATGATGCTGGAGCGGAGGTTGGGAGGTTCCGGTTGAGCCTCAGAGGGATCTCCCTATCGGGATGTTCGAGTTGCCACACCCCGGGACCTCTGAAGAGAGCGAGAACTAGGGGAGGGCCCACTCAGTGGGCGTTTTCTCTGGGGGGAGGTTCCATTCAGATAGCAATCAAGGGACAGGTTCTGTACAGTCAAAAAATGGGCGGCCGATGTGCGGAGAAGTATGGTAAAGCTACGAGGTTTGCCTTCTACAACATGGGTTGTGAGAACACCTTCTCATATGTAGAAAGTGAGATGGAGTTAGGAGCACTGGTATCAGCAGACTGCGGAGGAGCTTGCTCTAAATAGTTTAAATAGTTATTGATATGCTAACTTTGTTATCTAATACATATTTAGACTATTGTCAATTTAGTTTGACATCTTTAGGTCACTATAAGTATAAATAATATAAATATCCCTGACCATTTTAATCTCAACGGAATTGAACGTCTTGAGTAGGTAAATAACAAGTACTTTGAGGTGGCAATAGCTTGGTGTTTGGTAATCTGATTTTGATATCACTGATGAGGGATGATGTAGCAAACATATTTTATGTTATTATGAATATTATGTGCATTGATAGGATTTTAATTAAAAAAGATATATTGCATTTCATAGACATTCATTATTCAGTATTCTTGTAAACAATTTAAATACAGAGGGCCATTATAATCATTATATCAAAGAAAATTACAATTATATATTCAATGACAAGGTGAAATCTAAATATATAGATGGCCAGAACCCGGGTTCTGCACAAAATAGGCGATTCAAATTTTGCCCAAACTTCATTCGTAAATTAAATATACAAATCATAATGCAAAATACGTGGAAATTTAAATGTGTACATTCGTATTCTTAACTGACATATTATATCTCTTATTTGATTTATTCTAAATCGCACAAATACTTCACAACATGGCCATAAGTTTAATGATTAAATTGTTGAAAAATCCGTGCATTCAGATTTTGGAAAAAGTTCATCTAAAAAAGGTCGAACAGTGAACATTGACCGATATTCATACTGTTCTCTTCTGAAATTTCAAATTATGTCTCTACATGTTTTTCTACGTGTTCATTGTTGGTTTCTATTCCTTCTTTTCATCCTTCTTCTCTTTCTTGTCGTCATTCTTTTCTTTCTTGTCGTCCTTCTGTTTCTTATTCTCATCGTCCCACGCTCCTAGGAAGGTAATGTTGACATCTGTCTTGCAGCTGTTATCCATATTATCTACAAGAGTTTCAAGATCCCTCATTGGCTTGCCTTTCTTGTCGACGATAAGCCTGTCGAATGGGTAACCCATTGGCCTTTGGTCGGGGTATTTTGATTTCCTGTCTTTCAGGCCGCAGTATGACCAGCTTCCATGAAGGTGTTCTTGTGGGTTCTCACCATCTTGCATCCAGTCAGAAGCAAGAACGAAAATTTGCCCTCTCATGCCCTGTTTGGTTCCACGAGGAATGAGAAGGTTAAGTGGCCATCCACAGCCACAGTTGTTCTGGGTGGCACTGTTTGACTTGCCATCCTTGATGTCCTCGAACTTTGCTCGTCGAGCTGCAATAACAGAGGAGTCTTTGTCACTTCGGTTAATCTCCTTAGTTTCCCCTCCCTTGAAGGACTCCACGAACTTGTCTAGTTCCACGAACATGTTTCTCCAGTCATCTAGGGGTTCATCAGTTTCTGGAACAAGGAACACCCTGAAGCACACCATGACATCTCCCCTGTTCTTGTTCTTTGCTTTCATGTTAAAGCTGTATGGGATATGGTCCATGGACTGTGTCTTCACTTTAATGGCCTCCTGATCTTTGTTTGTGTTATAAACATCATATTTCTTTCCCTCCCTGTACGTGTAGAAGTGGTTCTTTGTGTCGAGTGGCTTATCAACCTTCTTCTTGTGGTAATCTTCTGGCTCTAATTTTACATTCAGATTTTCAAGTTCTACACCTGAGAACTGCAAATCCTTTGCTTTATGGGGATCCATAGTAAATCTGTGCTCTTCAAAGAGTTGATCAATGAACTTGTGCCATCTGTAGAACACGGGATCTCTGGGAGAAGTCTGGTCCTCGTGCATTGGTCCGGGAGCCATGTTGTACATTCCTGAGGGATCATTTGCATTCGCAATTATCAGATGTCCGTGGTTGTGGACATTGCCGTAGAGGGTCTTGTTGATAGAACCTTCGTTAGCCAATATGGTGTTTCCAAGGTTGTTCATGGTCATCTTTACCTTAACCTCGTTCTTGTCGTACAGGAATCCTCGTGCGATGGCAAATTGGATCCTATCTTTGAACTTCTCTAGCTCTTCAGTAGACGTTTTTGCGAAGGAGTAATTCTCAGACCCTAAACTCAAGTTGGCTGGTCTAGCAGAGGAGAATTTCAATTTTGGGTTGAATCCTTCCTTAAGGGGTTTATTCCACCCATATCCAGGACCGTAGGGCACAACACGTGGCAAGCCTCTTGAAAGCCTCTCAAAGTCGTACCTAGCAAGCATCTGTTGGTGCATGTATGCAAACAGCTCGCCTTGGCGATCCCTAGGAGGGTTTGGTGGGTATGGGTAAGACAAATGCCAGTTGTAAAAGTGGTTCAAGAGACCAAGGTCCTCTCTCCACCAAGAAAGACACCTTTCTTTGTCAAACTTGGCATTGGTTGGTAAGATGTTCATTTTCCTGTGATGTTTTTTGTTGGTTCCCATAACTACCATGGCATCCTCTCCTTTCTTAGTCAGACCCCACATCATGCTGTTCTCTCTGAAGTATGAATAAGGCATGGTCTGCTCTGGAGGAGGGAGGAGACATTCACGGGTTCTGGGGTGCTCCATGAATGTCACTCTGCTGAGATGTTCGATGTAAGGACTGCTCGGGTAGCATGTCCTCAGATAGGCAAAGGCATCAATCACCTGCTCGATGGGTTGTCTGGACATCTGGACAGCGATTTCATGGGCCTCTCCGACATGATCCTCCTGGAAAACACTGAAGTGAGGGATGTCGTCAATCTCAAATTCTTTCACGAACTCATTCACGTCTTTTTCATCCTTGCATCGAAACCTTTCACCTTTGTGGCCTTTGTCGAAAGATTTGTGTTTTGGGTCATGCAAGAATGCTCGTAAGATCTGTTTGTTCAGTTCCTTGGAGGCATTGGATTGCTTATGCTGATGACAGCTGTTATAGTTGTCCTTCAAGCCCCCTTTCTTAGCGTCTACAGCAGTAGCCATGGCGAACTGTGATATACAAAATTAATTTTATTAAATCTAATGGATTAAGCAACAACGCCAAAAAGTCGATACTAAGATTAAGTTTATAGGTACTGAACATCTCTGAACCGGCGAGGTACCATACTCTGAAATTGTAGAAAAACCTAAATTTTGTTTGAATCTAAAATCTAAATCTTATGTTATGATTTGATATAAACAAATCATCGCAGTGAAAAGAGTTACTATATCGAGATTTTTGTCTATCTTAAATTCAGTGGTCCAACTTATCGATATCCAGAGTCTAAAATTGTAGCAAGGAAATCACGATCACCATGGACATATGGAGTAGTTAAATCGAATCTAAAAAGATCTGCCTTGGCCATGGAAGAAAATCACAAGAGTTAAACATGAATCAAACTACTGTTCTCCACAAACTGCAACCGCTGTTAAAATATGTTTTAGATTATCGGTTATGCAGGGTAAGCTTCCAACTCGTACGATTTTCAATCATTGGTAGGTTGGGAAATATAACATGTCACGTGGGACAATGTTGACATGCTGGATGAGCCAGCACGATCACAATGCTCGTAATAATAGCACAGCACGATCACAATGCTCGTAATAATAGCATTTTGGAGTGCAAATTTGTAAACATTAACTGCACCGGGCCGTAGTAAAATCTTTCAGCTTGAGAATTAAGAGCAGTGCCGACCGAGCAGTCTTTAAACCAGAATATAGACGGAGAAAAATCACATACTGTGCAGAGACTGAGAACTTCGCACGGCAATAGATAGTTCTCAGATCCATACTCCAACTCGGTTAACCATCACCGACTCAAACTTCGAGCCAAACCGCTGCCATGCACTTTGACCCGATGCCGACAATAATATAGAGAGCGTAGCTGATCGTAGATACTTTAAAGTCAGGGTAGGTGGAGATAACACACATACGATAAAATATATTTTCCACGTACAACCTGAAATATTGTAATTTCACACTAATACACTTTTCAACCAATTCTGGGACATGAAATAATTAAACTTATTACAACACTACAAGTCTATGACATTTATCGAGTATTATGGAACGCGATGGAAATATTTTAAGCAGGTACTATTCTGTCCAAACCCAAAATACATAACATGAAGACTTTGTTGTAACTTTGTATGAAAAGCATTAATACAGCTAATATAGCAATTAGAGTATACAAGTATAAATAACGTAATTTCCTGCCAGAACGCCTGATATGCACTTAATTCCTTAATGTTATTTTAATTGTATTCCTAATTTGCTGCAAACCCATATGCAGCAATTAAACAAATTCGCAATTCACACAAATTTGTTTTTTCCACGTTAGCACGTTACACTTACAGGACAGTCTGTTGAGTGTTGTACTGTGTTGTCTGTGTACAATGTAGATCATGCGAACTTTCTCAGAAAATGGTGTGTGATTGAGAGATACTAAGATACCACAATTAGATTTAATTAATTGCCGAACGCACACTCGTCACGTTAGTTGCGTCAAATAATACTTTCGGAAGTAAAAAACCGTCTCATCTTTTATCTTTTTACGAAACTTGCACTGTTATTCGACATTTATAAAAAGCCCCTAAATGGCCATATTCATTATTCAGGTGCCTAAAAACCATGTTAGAATTAATGATTAAGTTGTAGTTATATATCTAAAATTTTGCAGAACGTCTAGACACCCTAAACTCTTAAACTGTCAAAGTACTGTGGGAACCTGAAACAATTAGACCAAGTTGCCGGTCAGCGAGTTAATATTGATAGTCATACTAATAAATCTTTAAAAGTTAATAAACCGTCCACCGTACGGCGTACATGGCTGGCGATATTCCTTTTGTTCATGGAGCTGTGTGATTTTTTAATATACTTGAGAATAGTTGTCTATCGGATGGTTGGAATTCGCAGTCTGAGTTCTGAACCATATTGCGACTTCCACATACCCTAGTGGGCAGTGGCTAGTTGAGTAGTACTGCCACTGGTACCGTCTAGAAGCGGCTCAGACTGAGTTGTGAGTCTTGCCAAGGTGGTACCAATATAACTGGATAGATGAATTCTATTGTGCTTATTCCCAAACCAGATAGTCGGATTGTTGTTTACGGTATGATTACAGTAGAAGCAATACGGCCAACACGTTTATGCCTGGCGACCCTAGGCTATTATGTTCATAGACATTCACATAATAGAATAACCGAGTAGAGATTCAGCGGAATGACAGGCTGAGCGCTGCCCAGTAATTTACAATTTGAATTACAGTTACACGATGTGAAATATTTGTCATTAACGTTTCAAATATTTAGTCATTGTTTTTCTTAGATTCATGTAAAATCCGGATTGGAATATCATTTATGAGTCGCATAGTTGAAACGTTTTCTTAGGTAAATTTCTATTGATCCCGTTTGATGCGACAAGGAAAGGGCTTTTATCAGGAAAGGAATTATTCAACATGTTCAATGTGACAACATCGTATTCATGATCTCAAATTATTTGTTATATATTTATTTATATATATTTATAAATACTACTATAAATAGTAGTGTTGAAAGTATTAAACGGGATCAATAACAATTTACCCAAGAAAACGTTTTCTTAAAGTTAGACTTTCATTTTGTCCAGCTTGTCAAAGTTTCGAATACTTTGCTTATGATTGATAATGATGAAAGAAACAATTTATTTTATTAAATTATTGAATACAATTTACTCTAAGTCCTAGTCATAATATTTTTACTCGTAAATTTCCTCGAAATTTTCATTAGACGATTTTTGAATTTTCGATTCTGATGTAATGTTGTTAGTGTTACACAGAAGTCCATCAACTATATTAATGCGTCAATTGTTCATAAGTCAAAATCCATAAAATAAGTTTTATTACTTGTAATTGCACCAACTCCAAGGTATATGGGGGTAAAACACTTACAACTAAGTTAATGTAAATAATGTGTGTGTGTCGTGAAATTTGGAGTTGCGTTATTTAGTAAGAAATGTATATTCAATGCAGTATTTTATTCAACACATTATCTTTGTTATCAGTATTTAATAATTCATCAGTATTTGATCATTTATCGTAGTCAGTGCCGAATCTTTTATTATTACTCATCAAATATCGATTAGAGAACACATTGGTTAAAGATGTTTATTCACCGCCTGTAAAGTCTAAGTTTGACATCTAAAGATAAAAGAAATATATTCATTTTGCTAAGATTATGTTTGCGTTTCATTGCTCAACAGCTGTTCGAAGGATCAAATTTAAGATTTGACATCTAACTATATAATTATAGGTGTATATATAATATATATCTGTTCCCATTTTACTGACACCACGACATCAAGTTTAACACAAAAATGATAAATAAATATCATTTTCTCTTGACATCACATTGTCATTAGAATTAGAAGGGTTCTAATCTGTAGTGGCGTACAGATTTGTTTAATAAAAGGCAATTCGGCACATAACGCACGGTTAAGCCCTTAAGGTACAGTTAAGGGATAACACAAAGCTGAAAGAAACGGACGTTCTATTCAACGCACAGCTAACGCACGGGTAGCATTATACATATCACCTGGAAGTTCTTCCAAAGCACTCTCGATGATCAACAGTCGGTTCTTTTACTTCGCGTCCGGTCGGTTCTTTTAACGCACAAGGTTTCTCCCGAGTTAAATTTGCTCACACAAAACCTGGTTATTATGTATATGGAGCATCTGCATAGTACCCAGCCTCCAAGTCCTAAGGGCCAATAACGGACATGGAATCAAGTCACGTGAATCAGTGATGGGGTTTTATTTGATAGATATTCTGAATAATTCAAGTGCACAACATAGGCATCCTCCCCCAGATAAAATTTATGCCAAAAATCCTACTATACTACTTAAAATATCCTTGACGCGCCTTATGCAAATTGCTCATCTCAATACTCAACCTGGTCAATTAATAAAACATTAAAAGTAAAATCCTTTTGACAATCTGACTCCCCTGGCCCTGAATTATCGTGTATTGAAGAGGCCCAGTATAATGGGTTGCACAGCCCGTTACTCACTTACGGTTTGCTCATTCTCGGTTGTTCTTACCATTGAAACCCCGGTCTCAGGGCCCATATAGCAGGTTTCAGGGTCTCTAGATCTGATGTCAGGTTATTAGGTTACATGCTGGGTTCTGATCCTAGGGTCCTAGGGTCCGATAGCGGGTGCTTGAACTAATTAGTGGGCGACCTTGATTTCCAATTCCTTACCTTAAGTTTAATTAGCCTTGTTTAAAGGCCTTATCTTTGTTATTCAACAACTTTTATTAGTCAATACTTTATCTTTTATGGACACGTTCATTGAAGTTTGAGGAAATTGGTAAATTTCTAAAACAGCGTATTTGACGATAGTGGTTTAATTTTAACATATATTAATCTAGCGTGTTCATAAGTTCTGAACATTAGCCACGTGACCCATACTCCCATATGCACTGCTCAAAAATAAAATGTATTGCTTTTAGGCACTATTATGTAAAAAATGTCACATTTTTGTGACATTGTTTACCATAGCTGCCCAATTAGCATTTTTTTAGTCTAAAATATAGTAGATTAGGTCAATCTAACAATTATGATACAATGTAGGCCTAAAGGGCAGTGATCGAACGGCTTTAAGGCAACATTTCGTAAACTTTGTCACACTCAGAATACGAGACCTCTTTTCTACTGTGAGGTGTCCTCAAAACCCTTTCAACTCATTATTTGATAGTTTTTCTGCCAATCATAGCCCTAAAATATGTTGTCTTGAAAAGTTAACAAATACATGCACTTGGCTATTGGGAAATGATGTAAATTCTGTCACATTATATGGAATTTGAAATTCTGGGTGAATTTCCGAAATCATTTATATCTGATTTTGGTTTGGAAGGCGGGAAAACTCTATATGAGGACGATACACGGATACAGTTGATTGAAGTATATAGGGCAGTTGATGTAAACATCGTCACAAAATGATACGAAATCGTAAATGGACACGTTCATGTTGAAGTTTAAGGATATTGGTAAACCAAAAAAATAGCGTGTTCAGAAGTTCTGGACATTAACCACGTGACCCATACTTCCATATACACGGCTCAGAAATGCAATTTATTGTTTTTAGGCACTATAATGTAAAAAATGTCACATTTTTGTGACTGTGTTAACCATAGCTGCCCAATTAGCATTTTTTGGTTTAAAATATAGTAGATTAGGTCATTCTAACAATTATGATACAACATTTGGCTAAAGGGCAGGGATCAAACGGTTTTAAGGCAATATTTCGTAAACTTTGTCACACTCAGAATACGATACCTCTTTTCTACTGTGAGGTGTCCTCAAAACCCTTTCAACTCATTATTTGATGGTTCTTCTACCAATCATAGCCCTAAAATATGTTGTTTTGAAAAGTTAGCAAATACATGCACTTATTGGGAAATGATGTAAATTCTGTCACATTATATGGAATTTAAAATTTTGGGTGAATCATTTATATCTGATTTAGGTTTGGAAGGCGGGAAAACTGTATATAAGGACGATGCACGGATAGAGCTGATTCAAGTTAAGGGCAGTTGATGTAAAAATTGTCACAATAATAATAAGGGCAGTTGATATGAAAGAAAATCTATCTAACTAATGCAATGGCTGATGTGACGAAATTTACATTTCTTGACCATATTTTGAAGAAACATGCCTCGATTAGAATTCAATATTCTTCCAGGAATTATTAGTAGGTTATTATTCAGCAAATCAGAACTCAAGTTTAACAATTCTGAGTTTAATTTTACTAAGTTACCGAAATGTGACGAAAATCACTTTTCCTGCCCCAACAGTATAATTTCAATGTGATGAAAAATGGGCATGGGTTTCTATATTTCCTTATCTCTGAATTAATCATTTCAAACTATAATTAGGACTGTTGATGTGAAAGAAAGTGTATCTAAATTTTACAATGACGTATGTGACAAAATTTACATTTCTTGACCCTATTTTGAAGAACCATACCCCGATTAGAATTCAATATTCTTCCAGGAATTATTAGTAGGTTATTATTCAGCAGATCATCAGAACTCAAGTTTGACAATTCTGAGTTTAATTATACTAAGTTACCGAAATGTGACGAAATTCACTTTTCCTGCCCCAAAAGTATAATTTCAATGTGATGAAAAATGGGCATGGGTTTCTATATTTCCTTTATCTCTGAATTAATCATTTCAAACTATAATTAGGACTATTGATGTGAAAGAAAATGTATCTAAATTTTACAATGACGTATGTGACGAAATTTACATTTCTTGACCCTATTTTGAAGAACCATACCCCGATTAGAATTCAATATTCTTCCAGGAATTATTGGTAGGTTATTTTTCAGCAAATCAGAACCCAAGTTTAACAATGCTGAGTTTGATATCACTAATTTACCGAAATGTGACGAAATTCACTTTTCCTGCCCCAACAGTATAATTACAATGTGATGAAAAATGGGCATGGGTTTCTATATTTCCTGTATAAATCCACTCCAACTATAATAAGGGCAGTTGATATGAAAGAAAATCTATCTAACTAATGCAATAGCTGATGTGACGAAATTTACATTTCTTGCCCCTATTTTGAAGAATCATACCTCAATTAGTATATGATGTTACTTTATCACCATCACTATGTCGATAAATTAGTTATTTTGCCAACACGGAGCAAATAAAATTATAATTTTTTTTGTGACGAAATTTACAAATTTTTACCCTGTTCAGGTGTTGAAATTTATCCAATGTTAACATATCACTTCCATATAATAATTTATATGACCGGCGTATGGTTGAAATATTGTTAATTGATCCATAGTACGTAATATAGGGTGTTTAAGTTGGTATACTAATATTTACTCAATTTCACACATGTTGAGATATCATACAAATTTATGTGACTAAATTTACCTATTTCTGCCTTCTGTATTTGTATTTGCCTATGACAATGAAATATGTGAACAATTCCAAACACATTCAGCTCACAAAATAATGCTAGACTATTCGGCATTTCTTGTCAGGATGTCATAAACATCCCTCATATAAATTTCTTAAATGTGTGACGGAGTTTACATGGTGCTACCATTTAAGGAAAAAAAGTCGCTAAATATGTAGATAATAGTCATATGCAGCTATTCTATGAATTGGAAATTCGAAAATTTGGTCAAACACGGCAACAAGGGGTCCATATAAACTCCGTCACGTTTTTGTAGTGTGACAAAGTTTACAACTCACTGCCGGCCGCATTTAAGTGATAACTTATCGTCTGATAAAGATATCGTTATGCGACAAAGTTTATCTAGAGGATGAAACGATTATCTTAGGGTTAGAGGGTTTATATAGTTTCATAGTGTGACACATTTTACATCATCGTGCCATTCAGTAGGGTCACTAATATTTACCAATATCCTCAAACTTCAATGAACGTGTCCTTATATCAAATATAAATAAGTGACCACTCTTGAACTAGAATTCTTTACTCAATA